TTCTCCTCCTCCTCGCCTTCTACAACCTCTTCCTGCACCCCCCTACGCCGGTACCCGGGCCCACTCCCCATCCTGCGCCCTTCCCATCCCTCACGCCCTGCGCATCGCTTCCGGTAGCGGCCCCCTGCAAGTGCATGCTCTCCACGAGAAGTACGGCCCCGTGGTGCGCATCGGCCCGCGGCACCTGTCCTACACCGACCCGCGCGCGTGGAAGGACATTTTCGGGCACCGGGCGGGGGATCATATCGCGCTGCGGGAGAATGGCAAGAGTGAGATGTTCTATCGCAAGCAGCTGATTGATCGGGATGGCATGGACGCGCCGAATATTTTGGATGCGGATCGCGAGGAGCATTCAAGATTGAGGAGGGCCGTGGCGGCCGGGTTCAGTGACCGCTCCATGAGGGAGCATGAGCCGATTATTATGAAGTATGTGGATCAGTTGATGAGGGGGTTGAGGCGGAAGACGGAGATGGGCGAGGAGGTGGATATGGTCAAGTGGTATAACTGGACCACGTTTGATGTGATTGGGGATTTGGTGTTTGCGGAGTCGTTTGGGTGTCTTAAGGACGAGACGACGCATCCGTTTGTGGATATGGTGACGGGGGTCGGTTTCGGAGGCGGCGACTTTTGTGGGCCATGAAGTATGCCGGTATGGGATACGTCCTGGGTTTAGGTGGGCGCTGAACAAGCTGGTCAAGTGGGCGGCTTGGGACTCGTTCAAGCAGATGATGATTATGATGGAGAAGAAGTTGCGGCATCGGTTGGATATGGACCAGGAGCGGAATGACCTGTTCGAGGGGCTGATGAGCAAACGGGAGGAATGGGTGAGTAACCCCGTGTCTTACCTGCTTTGGCTGGGCTTTGTCTTCACGGTCTGGCCAAGAGAGAGAGATGTTGGGCTGACCAGAGATTTGATAGAACCTCGACCTGCAACGCCTGCAATCCAACGCCACCCTTATCGCCGCCGCTGGGTCCGAGACAACGGCCAGTCTGATGGCAGGCGTCACCTTCCACCTCTTGCAGAATCCCGAGGCTCTCGAGAAGCTGAACAAGGAAGTGCGGTCCGCGTTCAAGAGCGCCGACGAGATCACCATCGCTTCGGTTTCCCGGCTGCCTTACCTCCTAGCCTGTTTGAACGAGGGGCTCCGCCGCTACCCCCCGGCTGTCAGCAACCTCCCGCGTGATGTGCACGAGGGAGGTGAGATGATCGCAGGCGAGTGGGTGAACGAGAATGTAAGCGACCAGCAGCGATTTGGAACCTAGCAGAGCGGTGGGATGCTAACAATTGACCGCTAGACCATTGTCGAGATCCAGCAGTACGCCATTAACCACAGCTCCCAGCACTGGCGCGACCCCTTCGCCTTCCGGCCCGAGCGGTGGTTGAACAAAATCGACGCCGATCTCGGCGAAGCGAAGGAGCGGGACGAAAAGGATATCGACGGAGACCGGCTCGACGCCATGCAGACCTTTAGTGTTGGGCCGAGGAACTGCGTGGGGAGGAAGTAAGTTGCACCCCTCACCACGGCGGCCCTTCTTCCCCGTGGAATGAGACTTTGCTAATCTGGCTACCTAGCCTTGCATATGCCGAAATGAGAGTCGTCATGGCTCGTATGGTGTTTGAGTTTGACATGGAGCTCTCGGAGCGGAGCAAGAACTGGCTGAAGGAGGCCAAGGTATACACCATCTGGAAGAAGACGGAGCTTTTCCTGCGCCTTACGCCGGTGAAGAGGTAAACTGGATTGGAGTGATTATTATTTGTAACAGTAGATAGTACAAGCCTTAGCGGCCCAACAAAGGTGGAGGATATCATCATACAAGCCTTGGTGATTCCGCAGGGTATCTGGCGGGATTTCCACCTAATTCTTTTTCCCTGGCGTCTTCTTTTCAAACTCTGCAGTCTTGGCCTCAGCCCGCTTGAACCCGGGCTCCTCCTCGAGGCGTTTCAGATATGCCCCTAGCTTCGGGAACTTGTCCTTCATTGTCCCCTCACCTTTGCCCACGCCGCGCCCACCCAGTGCCAGTTGTAGCGGGAAAGCCAGGAGAATGTCGGCAGTCGTCAGGTGTGAGCCGCATAGATACTGTCCATTTCCGGGAGACGATTCCAGCTGCGACTCGAGGAAACCGAGGTGTTTGGCCATTTCTGGGATGACAAAAGCTTCAAACAACTTGTCGACGATGCTGGACGTGATGGGGCGGATGAAGAAGGGGATCTTGGGCCCCTTGAGGACTATTACCGCGCGCCATTTTTAGCAAGCCACGGCTACTCGACTGGAAAACTGGTCTGACTTACTCAACAATATGAGCGACACTAAGAGAGGCGGCATCAGACTGCCCTCGGGGTAGTGCAGGAAGTATTGGTAGCGTATCCACGCTTCTGTCTCGGCCCCAGGCTGGCCCTGATGCCCGTCGAGATATTTCTTGGGAGAAAGGGATGTCGCGCGTCCAAAATTCTCAGTTAGATATGCTGCGATCACGCCGCTCTCGGGCGAGGGATGATCTGCTTTTCCTTGGTTGGATCCGTGGGATCCGGCAGCTTAATGCTGACAACGGGCGACTTCCCGAGTGGGTGAAGCTTTGTAAGCTCAGGGGGAGCTTGCATGTCTTCATTACGGTAGAAGACCTTGATATCGTACTCGAGGTTGAGTTCCTCGAGCAGCCAGGCGATGCGTTGTGCTCGAGATTCATTGAGCCTGAATGGGCCATGTTAGTGTCCGGCATTGGTTGATTTTGGTAAACCTCGTGGACACTAACCAGTAAAGTGTGATCTTGGGCTGTGCAGCCTGGGTTGGCGTATTATCATGAGAAGCCATTGCGTTCAATGTGTGTTGATGAGGAAAAACAAACCGAAGCACTTGACCTTACAGGGGGCCCGGGCGATCTGCGGAGTCAGATTGGACTGGAATTCAAATATGTAGGATATTCCTCCCTGCTGACAATTGTGAGAGCAATGCACTCGCCACTTATCTTCCGAAGGAGGTCGGCCCATTCCGGCCATTTCAGTTAGTTCAGCCGGGAATTTGCGGGCTCGGACTCGGATTCGCCTGAGTCCTGTCAGCAAGCCAGAACGTGATTGGTTTCAAAATCCGTGAATCCCAAAGGATGAGCCGTTGACTCATGGTCCAGGTGTAACCGAGCGGAAAGATTTGTGATCGGGCTCAGAACTGAAAGCCCATCTGAATACCCCGGCATCATCTGGCCTACCGCGCCTTGGGAGCATCGCAGGATGGGCTCGAGCACGAGCACAAAGACGAGTGCGACGGTGACAGGGCTCAGTGCTATCGCAGCGGGTCAACCTGAGAAGAAGCTGGGTCCGTGGGCTGAAATACGGCGTGGCTGGCTCACACGTGCTTACCGGGTCGTTGCCAAATCCAATATAACTACCGTAGTGGGAAAATCAATTTGGTGGCATGCCTTACCGGGGCCAACATGCCTTGCCACAACAACATGCCATGCCATGCCAACATGCTATGCCACCCTCCCCACCAAATGGAACATCGTAGCTTCCAACTCGAGATAACTATATATCCTCATAGGAAGAAGGAGCACCGCATCATTTAAATGTAGTTGATTCAGTTAAGTACCTAGTTCAATAAATCACTTTTTCCCTCTTCGCGCGTGCCTCTATTCGATCCCGTGATTGCACCCATTTCTCTTCGTTCCCAAATTCGATATTCAAGTTGATGGTTGGTACCTGTAACTGATCCAGGGCTTCAGAAAGGTTATAGGGGGTTGCCAATTCTTTTGGAAAAGGTGGGGCGGGTTGGTAGGGCATGTTGTCAGAATACGGGATTCACTGGTCCAATCAGGCAATCAAGTATGGTTGTTGTCCGCGCTTGTTCCGCGTCCGTTGTATTTTTCGGTGTGTCCTCGTTCAGACTCCGACATGTGGGTCCCCTTGGGGTTTTTACCCGTCGAAATGAGAAGTGATGGTTAAGCTAAACATGCCCCGTTTACTTCATATCCGAAGACTCCACCTCGATATTCTGACACATGTTGCGGTGGCACGCAGCGGTATGTTGCTGTGGCACGGCATGTTGAAAAAAGCATGCAAATCAATTGGGGCAAGTTTCCAGGCCCAACAAGGTATGCCACCCCCTATAGAACCCCGCTGTGCTACTAAGTTATCTGTTCTGGATTTCTTACAGCGTTACCACAATGACGGCCTTCTGCGTTTATGGCGGTAATAGTAAAATCCAAGCCGGTATGGCTTTAATACCATGGATGCGGAGAAGTTGTCATTGTTGTAACTTGATAGAATATTATTTGGGTGTTTTGACTTCTTAGTTAGTCAATAGTTTGGACTGTTTTATAATGCGTCAAATACCTAACTACCTAAGCTTCGAGGTAGGGAGCTAGATCCCAATTCGGGCCAACCATGCCAACATTTATGATCTTTCCGGACAAGTAAACTGCGGTTTCCTCAGCTTGTTGAGGAGAATCAAGTGTGCCTTCTTCAACTTTCTTGACTCTCGGACCCGGTGAAAGCGAAGTGTTCCTCCTTCGCCTTTGGAAGATGGAGAGAAGCGTCCCTTCTTCACCTGCGGCAACAATAAATGCAGAGGCTTTTATGAAGCGGTTAATTCGCAGCCGCCCAAGGCCAAATGCTTCCTTAATCAAGTTGTTCTCGGTGGCACGGCGGTCTAGTTTTCGCAGTTAGCTAGTTATGCAGTTAAAGCCCACACAATACCCACACACCGTTCATGGTCTTCAAAAGTCTTTGCTAGCCTTGGGCTGTTCTGAGAGAAGAAGATGTTCAAAATCAGAATGGGTCAGATGCCTTGCAGGTCCTTTCATGATTCAGGGGGTGACTATTACGATGTTTGGGCAGGCAGTTGGACATCTTGGACATCCCCTGCCTGCACCATACCGAATAATTACGATACCTCCTTGAGATGTCGAGTACCTTACAACAGCCATTGGAAAGCAGGTAAAATCGATAAAGTACGTATCTGCACCTATCATTGGGCGGGAAGGGGTTCAACTTGAGAGAGATGGGTTACACGACTTGACCCACCCTCAAATGACGGCGAGCCGCCGTCAAAGTCCCAGAGCCTCGCCGTAGCGCCTGGGACTTGATTTCCCCTCTCTCCTCTCCTCTCTCGGCCATCGGGCTGCTGCCGCTGAGCCCCCCGGTTCGAAACCCACACCGTGCACACAATACACACCCCATCCTCCCACCATCTCCAAACAAACAGACTGCACGAAACCCTCACCACCATGGTCCGCGAGTTCGAAATCCCACTCAGCGACGCCAACCTCGAAGACGCCCAATTCCGGCTCGACAACGAGCGCAACGAGAACGGCCAGCCCATCCCCCACCGCGAATGGACCACGGGCATCGACCGCGTCGGCTCGGCCGCGCGCATGGCCGTCAAAGGCCGCATGCCCCTCGTCGCGCACGGCTTCGACGCCCCCGGCAGCAAAACGCGAACCCCGCTCACGCTGGTGGTCCTTGAGTGGAGCACCGAGCGGCTGCGGCTCGACCGGCGGTTTCGCGAGGTCACGCTGGAGGTGTCGTTCGCGGCGCATGGGAGCCGTCGTGATGCGGAACCGGAGGCACGGCGTTTGAGGGATAAGGGCGTCGGGCGCCAGTACTGGGACCCGGAGGTGCTTGCTGTTGCGCCTGAGGGTACGTCGTGGTATCACCGTACGACGCATAAGGTGGTGGAGCAGCAGGGGGTGGATTTCAGTGTGAATTTTACGTTTGGGGGGTTTGTTACCGTGGGGCCGAAGGTCTACTGGGAGCGTGGTGATGCCGTGAATAGGACGGATGGGATTCAGCTGTCGGGGAGTATGACGATGGTGGGGCCCGGGCATAGCAGGCCTAATGCGGTGCGGTGGGTGATGCTGGAGAATGAGTCGCAGGAGAGTGGCGTGCCTGCTTTCTTGCGCACGGCAGTTCTACTGAAGCGGCGACCAAAGGACAATGGGCAGTTTCTGGGGACGGTGAAGGTCTCGTATAGTGTGTCACCGTTGCATGATTTTAAGGAGACGCTATTCAGGGCGGTGGGCAAGTTGCCGGTTGATACGCCCATTGTCTTTGACCCCAAGGTGGCGACGACAGTCCCACCCCATGTCGACTTAGCACGCCTGGGTGCATTCGATGTGGGAAAGGAGTTCCGGTTGGTTTCGCTGGAGCCGTTGCCAGCTGCCATGGAGACTGCGGAGGGTCTTGATTCTGCTACCGGGGAAGCTGCTGAGACTGAGATGTTCGCTACCTAAATAGCTGCCTAGGCAGTACCTACCTAACTACCTATCCAGCTGTCTAACTTGCCATCCTATTTCCGATATGCTTAGCGTTCCGCGGGAACCTTCTAGACCACCCCAGCCTAATGCAAGTGATCTTACTGGGTCAGGTGATCCACTTGGTACAGAGCTTCACCACAGTCTCAATGGTATTGCCTTCCTTGAACAGCCGAGTTGCATCTACCCACTTTGAATCCTTCGCTTTGAGCTTCTCGAAGACTTCGTGCATGTTCTTCGGGTTCGCAATCCGACTGGAGCCGCCCTTGCCGAGCTGCTTCTCAAAACAGCACAAGACCAGCGCGGCGAGGCCCGAGGCGAGAGCCGTCGCTGCGGAGCTTCCCTTTCGCTTCCCCAGCTCCTCGATCTCCTCGCCCGGAAACAGGTACTCGACTTGCGAGGGGTCCACAGACGTAGAAGCCGCACCGTTTTCCCTCGCGGACCCCACGGCCTTGACGTGCTTTGTGTCTGCCCTCGCCGGGTAGAGCTCCAGGTCACTCCCGTACTGACCTTGGTCCGCGGCTGCGCAGTACATGATAATCCCCTTTCTGGCAGCCTCTTGGATCTTGCTATCGAGCAGTGCAATCTGCTCTTTGTTTGCGTCCACCTTCACCAAGCTCCAGCTCATTGAGATGATGTGTACATGTCGCCGAATTGCCCAATCTACCGCCTGATAATCGGGGTTCAGGACGTAGTTAGCGTCCAGCAATGAGAATGAGCACCGAGGGATGGAGGGTGGAGTTACATACCTTTGCAGCGTTCTCAGCTGTCGATACCTCTCCCAGCCGCTCTACCCTCTCCTGGTCGGTCCAATCACCCAGCTTGGCCACGTACAACTCTATTTTAGGGCACACCCTGCGTATCAACTTGGCCATCTCGGTGCCGTGTCCGGCCGCAGATTTGTAAAAGGGGTAGCGCTTGCTTCCTGGCTCTAGGACCGGCCAACCCTCTGGACCAAACATATCCGCAAAGATGTCCTGGTTGGCATCTACACCGTCATCGATCAAAGCTACTTTGACTCGGAAATCCGTTTCGCCTCCGCGGCCACCGTCATACGGGAGCTTGCTGACAAACTGGTCGACACTCTCAAGCCAACGGTGCTTCCTAAGTAACAGAGCGCACGGTTAGTGGTGGTGTGACAAATCCATGGTTTCGGACTTATTTTTTTTTCTTTTTGAAAAAAAAAAAAAAGGGGGGGGGGGGGGGGGGGGCTGCACGTACGTAGTTGCCTCTATTTCATCAACTTCCTCCAATGCGATCTCCGTATCGTCAACTGTCTTCTTTCTGGGAGGGTCATCCATGATCGTCCTGAGGTCAAAGTTGGACGCCACGCTGCCGTGGCTGAGCAGAAAGAAGGTGTGATGGTGGCCCTGAAGTGACTTCCCCAATAAAGGCGGGTACGGGCTTGGCTTGAAGGCAACTGTAGTTCCGTCCTTCACGGTTGAGATGTGACTCTTCCGATTGCTTTCAAAGACCTTAATAGACTGCATTCGTGTGTTGAGACAGTCTGCCATCTGGTGATCCAGCTGTCGGCATTCCTTCGACGTAGATTCGAGCGTGGTTCTGTACCTTTCCATGATCTTCTGAGCCTTTTCCAGGTTATCCACCAGATATTCCTCCTCCTCCTTATATTCGTCGATCTCCTCTGCTAGCTCGGCATCTGACTCAGTATCCGCAGTCTGCTCGTTTTTAACCCCCAGTTTGGGAACCTCGTGGCGCTCCGCCCTGAGTTCGGCCAAATGTTCCTGGACACTTTGAAGTTCTCGACTGTCTCTCTCATGTTGGGTTTCTTCATATACTAGACGGTGCCTGGAGGTCTCCATCTTGCATTGGAGGACCCGCCTAAACCTCGAATGAGCAATGTTCTGCTTCAGCCTTGTGTCGAACGATTGGATGTTCTCGATATATTTCTCGTAACTCTCAAAGCCCTTTCATAAATAGAGACAAGTGTCAGTATTGTGGATGGAACCACATGCGCGATAGAAGCAAGCCCGGGGTCCATCTCACCCAGGGTGCCCGTAAATGGAGAGTCGTCATCTATTGTGTAAATAACGATAAAGCGCTTGGTTAGCTCCAGAACCTCTTGAGACTTATATTGGTGATACCCACCTTATGCAAGTGACAGAGGCCATCAGTTGCTGACCAACCTTGGAGGACGGCATTCCTGCCACTGGAGTACAGCCATAGCTCGGCAACCCTCGGAGCCGCGGCGAGGACCGTGTGGGCTGATAAGTCTTCTTTCCTCCAGTCAAGGTACCTAACATCAAAGTCACGTATGCAATCCGCGATTACTTCGTCGCTGCAGGGCCTACCCGCGTCATCTGTGACTATCAGCTTCAGGATCCTCTCTACCCCCATGCCTGCGAGCATCCCGAAGACGCCGCGCATGGCATCCATGTCTTGTTCCCACAGTGTACGAGATAGATTCCTGAATTCTTGCTGGCTCTCTTCTAGCGACCTGTGCGCCGTCTTCGGCTCTTGTGGCTCAGGCTTTGTGACAGGGACGATGAGATCGACCAGCGACATGATCTTGGGGGGTTTCAAGAAGCTGTAGCCTTTTTGTTCCTCCATCCCGAGGGCGTGACCTGGCCGGAAGTTTGGATCCTTGTAGTTCTTGTCTAGGCAATAGGACCAAAACAGACAACGTCAGTTCAAGTTACGTAATATCTTGACTCCATGTGCGGGTAGGCAGGTAGGTACCTAGGTAATTAGAAAAGCCGAAAACTTACCGCCGACTTTCCCAAAGAAACACTCGCACGCCTTTTCAAAACCCCCGAGCGTAAAGGCGCCCTCGAATAAATACCTTTCCACCTCTGCGACAATGCTGTCAGAGGGAACGGGGTTCGGACATTGTTCTGTTGGCTCGTCAGGTTCCTCCGATCCTCCGTCCTCCCCGTTCAGGGAAGCCTTGGTGTGGCCGCCGAGCAGCTGGTCCGGCTTTGGCTTTTCCGCCTTCATACCCAACTTCATGTCACCAGTAAGGGAGGCGTTGTCGATTCTGGGTTGGGGAAATGACCTCATCCCATCCTCCTTTACTCCGGGAATCGACTGTATGGTCCTCCCCTGGGTTCCGGCGTCAGCATTTCCATGGCTTGTTGCATATGCTTTGGTAGCGAGGTAATATCGGTAAGGCGATTCGTTGTCTGAATTCATTATGGTTAAGGCGCTCGGGGCCTTTTGGATCAAGTTTTTGACCAGTTGGAGCACCCGCTCTCGCTTCTTCCACATGTGGTGTTCGGCCTCGGAACACTTTGGGCATGTCTCCTGCTCCTTGCAGCGGGCCTCTGTAGTCATATTCCTCTCGTATGCCACGGCATCGTGCAGGGCGGTATTGTTCTGGACACTGCCCTTTTGTTCGGAACGGCGCTGCCGCAAGAGCGTTCTTGCGTCTGAGAGCAGCACCAGGTTGTTGGCGATCTCGAGCTGCCCGACCACGGCGATATGAACACACGTCTCTCCAAAAGAGTTGGTAATGTCGAGCACCTTCTTGACCGTAGCATCGCCAGCGCTTTTGCACATCCAGTTTGCAAGCTGCTCGAAGGTGAAGTGCTGATCAGGCTCAGCGTCACTCGCCATAGCCAAAGCCTTATGCAAGGCGGTATCTTCCTTCTTATCCTTTGCCAGCAGCAGGTCGGGCTCAAGTTGTAACGAGAGCTGGACCAAGGCCAGCGAAGCCTCGAGATTCCAGGATAAATCGCTGCCCTTGGTGCCGTGATCTGCCCGCCACAGAACCCAGTGAAGGATGGTCCAATTGTCGCCCCGCAAGCACGGTCGGGCCGCCTCCTTGATTCCCGGTCGGTTGGGCCAGTCCCTACCGGCCTCCTTGATTTTCTCGAGAAGGTTTACACGTTGCTCTTCCAACGATCGGGTTAGGGCCTTGGCACCTTTCATCTTCCTTTGGCGCTGTCCTGGGTGGTGCCATGACCTCCCAAAAGGCTCGGGCCCTTCACTGTCATGGGGTTCGATTGGCGACGCCTGGGAAACCATGCTACTTGGTAACGTGGGCTGGTCCTTTCCGGGGACGGCTGCAGGTTCGATTCTCATGAGGTTGTGTTGCTCACTTTGGCTGTTGAAATGTTGTGGTTGTCGCTCGCAGTTATCTCTCGCACCTAGCCATGCTCCTGGAACAGGATGGGTTGTGAGGCAGAGGGATGGGCAGGCTGGACTAAAAGGGCATCCATGTGTTACAGGAGATGCTATGATGCAGATAGATATTATGTCCTATCCGTTCCGACAGGTTCCCTCAGGGAAGCCGATTCCCGTTTTGGGATCCACGACAGCATCGTTACGCGTTGGCTGCACCCAACAGCAAATGGGAGATGATTATCGGGGATTATTTGCTGTGTGGAGGTGGCGCAGGTGCCGCTCGAAAAATCTCTCATGCGTCCTGAGCTGATATTGGGCTTTGTGCTACACACCTTTCTGGTTCCCTCTCAACGCATGTGGTATCTTGCATGACTCCGCGGGGCCCTCTCAAATACTGGAAATCAAGCCTCGACCCTCCTGGTAGCCCGACTTTGACTTCCTCCGCTCGCCAGCAGTTCTCAAAAAGTGCCACACGACCATCTTGTTATCTTAGATTTGTAAACCTTTTTACCTCCTTTGAGTTTCCCAATGGACCTACCAGACGATGAAGATGGCTTCGATAGCGAGCTCAGCTGGGATCCCTCTGCCCGCCGCAGTCGAAGACGTCTGTTGGGACGGCGGCGGCTGAACCGGAACAATGAAGACCGTAGCAAGGCAACGACCGTCCTGGATCCAGTGATCGACTTCAAGGAAGCGGAAGACAGAGCTGAACCACAGCCGGTCGCTCGCTCCGATCAGGATCTGCCAACGGTTTCTCTTCCTTGCAGGGTTGCGTGCGTCACCCCCTAAACACCCACAATATGGCTCCTTGGATAGTGGTGAATAGCACCAGACCAGATGTCTAGAGTGTTTATCGTGTGTGCTAATAGATATTCTAAAGCCTTGTCAACATCAGCGGTTTGAATGGACTGGAAGCTGGTTTCGACCATTATACTCTCGCTCATCTTACATCCGTAGAAGCCTTCAGAAAGACAGTCGCCACGGCTCTCGACATCGACAAGATAAGCTTTAGGTTTCGGGATGACAAGATTTTGGGTGAAACGGCCACCAACAACGCGATAAGGAGCCTGGCAGTTGAATTATTGGATCATGTGACGCGGTCAGTAAACTTTACGACCGAGGATGAAGAAGTAAGTCCAACGTAAACTCACAGCTGGCGCAACTGACCTACTTTGCAGCAGACCGAAGATACAGTGGTTATATTTGTAGCTCGTGACTTGGGTGGTTCGGTGCTAAAGCAGGTCTGTAATTCTGCTGGCTCCAAGTCTGGGTTACCTGTGATGACATTCTAATTAAACCCAAATCCCAACCGGGGCATACTAGGCTCTACTTGAAGCATCACAAAACTCAAAATACCTGCACGTGTTGCAGAGAACAGCTCTTCTGGTATGATTGTACTCGTCTTTCGCTCTTTATCCGCCCGCCTGAAACCAGCTGTGGCTGGTGAAGCTGACAAACCCTCACACTAGGTCTTTGCCGGAACCCCTCAACGTTGCGGTCAGGATTGTTCATGGACTCATATGCTCTCAAAGCTATTCTATAAACAGTCCACTGCTTTGGACGGCCCTTGGCTTCCACAGCAACTCCAACACCTATCCGCTTTTCACGAAGATTTGACGGTAAAATTCAGGGCCCTTCTCGAGACGATCGATGTCGAGCTCCTCAGCATTTACCAGGAGCCGCCAGGGCAGGCCACATACGAACTGGTTGGTTGCCTTTTCCCTTTCGTTGGGCCGCTGACCCACTGACCCCGGGCCCTACCTAGCTTGTCCCGGAAGCTGCTGCCACGCTGAGCCAGCCGAGAGAAGTACGAATTGGTCTCCACAGGTCTCACCAGTCGTTGGCGGAATTCCATGATCTCGCCACGCAGACGGCTTTTGCGAACAAAGTTCAGGACGTCCGAAGCAGTGCGTCATACTCCTTTCCTTCCTTACCCGACCTTACGGCAGCCACGCACAATGCCTTGCTGGGGTAGGCGTGCTAGGTATATGTACCTTCACCAGCACTAACTGCCACCTCTAATTAGAGCGGCAACCCGAGTATCAGTTGTTGATCAAGCTCCTTTCAAACCATGGGCTCAGCATACCAGTCCGCCACTACAACTATTCGAGACCGGTATTTAGAAATTTGTGCGACTGGCTGCTTCCGGACGGTGCTTTTGCGCCTTGGATGGACACCAAATCATCTCTCGAGTCACTCCCTGAGGATCCCGTGGAGCGTGCAGGGATGCTCATTGCAAAGAATCTCCTGGTCCTTGAGGTGGGCGGAGCTATCAATGACACCGCAATCCTCGCTGGCTCGCTTGTCGCCTCGATCAGAAGCAAGAGAGCATTGGCAGTCGATCATTTCATCACTCTGGCGCACCACCATCCCCAGGTCCTAACTCTGACCAAACCCCAGTTAATGGCCTCTTTGTGTCACCAGATTCTTATCCACAGCCCGCGTCTCCTTAGCCTGGTCCGGCAATGGCTTAAACCTGCCCGAGAGGCCCTCCAGAGCCACAATTCCCACTGGAAGGAGGCCGTGTTGTGGCAAATTCTTAAGACACTGTTCAGCAGCAAATCTCTGCGCCACGACTGCATCATAGTCCACGAGCCGCCGGATGTGAAGTTCTCTTGGCCCTTTCTGGACCTGCTTACCGACATAGGTAGTTTGCTAGAGTCAACTGAGATTCATTGCAAGATCCTGGTGGTCCGGGCCACTCCCTCCAGTAACGGCCTGCCCCAACGGTGGCCGGTACTACAAAAAGTCATCAGCCACGGCGACCAAGGTGCTAGAGCGGCCCTCGAGATGGACTTTACCGAGGAGTCGCGCATACATTCGCATAGCGGCCCGGATCCGACTACACGGCGGGAGAAGGCGCTCAGCGTTCTTCTCCGAGACGGAGTTGAGCTTGACAAGGCCCGAATAGTTGCGCACTTGATAGCGAAACATACGTTGTTACCACTAGAGCTACTCGAGAAGACGTCGTTAGGTTGGGAGACAGATGATGGGTTGGCCTCTCTGATCTCCGACCTGATACCAAAAACGTTCAAGGCTTGGGTGGGCACTGGACTCTTATGGATGACCCACGCTGCGAGACCCTTGACCCGGATCGAGTTGGAAGCCGCGCTCGGCCTTGGGTTCGATTCTTGCCGTACCCCAACCGTAACACCACCACCCTTGGGTTTCGTGGACATATTTGCGGATTGCTTATGTGGCCTTTTGGAAATTGACGCTACCGGTGTTGTCTTCTCTATGTACCCTTCCATCTGTCGACGTGTTCTCACCCACATAAAGCTGGGCCAGGATGAACCCAAGCTCTTGCTAGAAGTACAGCCAAATATGGGGGGTTCCGATGAGCAGGCCGAGCTTGCTCTGCATTGTCTCCGTTACCTCAGCCGGGATGATGGCTCGATGGAGCAGCCCACGGCGCCGCTACGTCGATACGCCGTAGAACATTGGCTCTCCCACCTCAACTTATCTGGAGACGCCACTGTCCTCGCTTCTGTCATGGCCGGCTTCGTCCTGTCAGATCAGGATCGGACCAGCCGATGGATACAGCAGCGGGCTTTCTACTGGGCGTACTACGATGCAGACGCGCGGCGAGAGCCGGAAGCTTCAAATCACGCACCCCCAAGCCTACAAGACTTGGTTAGCGAGTTTCCTTACCAGAGACCTAACGGCCTAAGGGGAATAATGGAAATAATCGACCTCGCATTTGAGGCTAGCGCGCTTCGAACAGCCCAGGACCGGCAGATGTGGCATGCCCTAGCGCTGGCTGCAGCCCAGACAGGGAAGTTACATGCACTCCGCATACTCGATGGGAGAGGGCACTTGGACGAGGACGATATTCTCAATGCCATATCCGAGACAGGGTCCCGAGATGCATTGCTTGGTCTTGCGCAAAACAAGCCCACCTGGGTACGCAATAATATCCACAAGCTCGTACAGCATGCGGTACGGTGTGAAGATCTTGATCTCGTGCAGAGGCTCCAGCACGAGTTTGGCCACTCCTTCAACAACTACGAACCGCCTATGATCCACGACCTGGCTGCGAACGGGCAAACTGTCCCCTCAGACCGCTTGTGGGAGGGGCTCAAGTCCGGGCTTGAATACGAGTCCCCCGCGGGGCAAAGGGTCCTGCATGTGGCAGCTAGCTCTGGCCATGTCTATCTGTTAGCCAAGCTCTTGATGGGAATATCGAAGTCTGCGCTTCGGATTAACCACCAGGACGCGTTAGGCTTGACCGCGTTACATTTGGGAGCAGCGAGAGGTCACGTTGCTGCCGTGGAACGGCTACTTGTTGCCGGCGCCCAAGTTGACCCCCTTGACAAGGCTGGGCAGACTCCCCTACACATGGCGAGTACCGGCGGTTACGTCGAGACGGTTCGGGCCCTACTTGGACGCGGCGCATCCATAGGCTTGAAAGACGACGAGGGGAAGACGCCGCTCCATCTAGCCTTGGAAGACGGTGACCTTGACGTGTCGATCGTTCTTCTTGACAAGCTAGTATCATGCACGGAACAACGGAGTTCCGTTGATCTCGACGTCGCCGCCAAGGAAAGCCTTACGCCGCTGACACTGGCTGTGAGGAATAGCCTGCTCCCAGCAGTGAGGAGCCTACTCCGTCTCGGAGCGGACGTCAACACGGCCAATACCAGCCAGGATAACATAACTCCGCTACACGCGGCGGTTAAGCATGGCTCGTACGAAGTCGTAGAGGAACTATTAGGAGCCGAGGGCATCGATGTCAACGCCCGCGCTGACCAAAATATAACACCTCTTCACTTGGCGGCCGAGCTGGACCGTCCCCGCGTGATGCGGAGCTTGTTGGACAAGGGCGCAGACACCAGTGTTCAGGATAGGCGCGGACTAACGCCCCTTTCGGTTGCATGTCTCTCGGGCAATGTCTCTGTCGTGAAGATGCTGCTTCCGTCTGTCCCTCGCGGCCAGCTCGGGCTCCCTTATTATTGGGCTTCAAGGTCGGGCAACGAAGAGCTATTAAGCCTCGTTTTGGATGCGGGCGTCGACAAGAATTCAAAGTGGAGTATTCACGGCGCAATACATCGTGTGTCCTTCTGCTTGGAGCCCAGGCTCCTGAGGCTACTCCTTGTCCGGCGCGTGGACCTAGAGCTGCGCGACAGCAACGGGGCGACTGCATTGATGCGCGCTGTCGATCAAGATGCGCGTGAGTGTGTCAAGCTTCTGGTCGACGCGGGCGCGAGTGTATCTTCGGAGGATGAGAAAGGTCACACAGCTTGGTTCCGCGCGGCATCCATGAACCGTCTAGAGTGCCTTCGGATATTGCTCCGTTCGTGCCATAGTATGGAGTTCAAGGTACCAACCGGCAAGTCGGACAGCTATGAAACAGTAGTGGATATGGCTCTGGCTGAGTTTAAACCCGAGATCTTTCGGATGCTGGTTGACCACCTCTCAACCCTGTCGGCGCAGTTCTCGCTATCACCAAGTCCAGACATGGTGGTGCGGTTGGTGTCGCAAGACTGCAATGTGGAAAATATCCGGACCCTACTCGAAAAGGCCACTCACTGGGACCCCAACGAAGAGGTGGGCCGCCGCGGGACGATGCTTCATCATGCCGCGTATTTCGGAAGACTCCATCTAACAGAAGTTCTCATACAATCCGATCGCGTGGACGTGAACAAGCGCAACGACATGTATGGTACACCCTTGGAAACCGCCGTTTGCGAGCCAGACAGCCCTTCCTGCATAGAGATTGTGAAGAAACTTCTGGGCAAGGGGGCCCTCACCTCCATCGGAAGTTCTTACTTCGGCTCGCCTCTACACGCAGCCGCGGCCACGCCCAAGTACGTGTGGATGGACGAAGTAGAGGACCGGTACCTTACTATGGCGCGGTGTATTCTGCTGCGTGATCCGTCGGCAATCAACCTAACGGCCGGTTACTTTGGGACGCCTTTGGCTGCGGCGTTGGGTCGCGGAACGGAAGCCATGATCGCCGAGCTTCTACAATACTCACCAAACCTCGTCGTTCCAGCAGGTATTGTTGGTACAGTTCTCCATGCTCTCGCAGGGAGGAAGGAACCAGTCGGAGGCCTGGTTCCCACCTTGAAGATGTTGTTGGACCGGGCAGCCCCGGCGGTCACGCCCGCAACACCAGACGCGGCCGGGCGTTTACCGATCCACCTGGCGGCGGTTGAAGATAATGAAGCCTTCATCTCGCTCCTGACCACACCCGAAGTAACCCTCCTTTCCAGAGCCGTGGGAGGACGACACGCGCTGCACTTCGCCGCAGGGTCAGGTTCGATGAGCGTTGCCGCGGAGCTCCTCGTCCAGCACCCGGATGCGATTCATGACGTCGACGACGACGGCTGGACCCCCCTGCACTGGGCGTGTCGCCGGGATTTCGTGCCCATGGTGAAACTGCTGCTTGAAAACGGGGCGGACAAACACCGCAGGACGAATCGCGGTTGGCAGCCCATCGATGTTGCCGTGTATCACGGCTTCCACGACAACATCGTTGAGCTCGTTAGGGTCAGCCCAGAGACCCCGGAGAAGCCGCCGCCGCCGCTACATAGCGAGCTGGCGGTCGAACAAGAGAGGTCGCCACCGAATGCCGCTGCGTTGGCGAGGACGGGAGAGTACCTGTCGTATCATTGCGACAACTGCCTATTGGTGAGTATTTGCTTTGCCTCTGCCAGCGATAGGCAGGTTCACCATCGTCCCGGCATTCTTGGAACCTGGCGCTAGTCGTCTCTAGGGATTTATATGCCTGTCTCAGGATGTAACGTTGCTGATTACGTGACTCTGGTCACCCTTAGGACATCTACGGGCCGCGATACTGTTGTACGTGCCACGGCCTGGATCTCTGCTTCAAGTGCTTCCGGCTCACGTGGAAACACCTTTTTACGGGCCATCACTTTGAGTTGTTCGATATGCTCGGGGACAGATTGTCGGCAACGGGAGAAGAGGACACGGATGGACATTGAGAATGCGCGGCGTTTGGTGTGAAACACTTATGATACTTATAAGTTGGGTAGATACTCAGCTTATACCGTGTGTGCGGGCAGGGGACAGAGGATTGGATGGAGAGCCGCCGCCGCTGGTGATTATGATTATGTGAAGGCGTGAAATATGTTTCAGGTGACTTCCATACGAATACAATATGTCATCCATCCAAAACACTTGGGGTTGCTGACGATTAACGACGATGTCGGGCTGTTCAAGCGGTCGTTCGGGACAATTCCAGAACCAAGCCTGGTCAGCCCCCTGGCAAGCAGCCCAATTAATTCATGGAACCACTCCCAAAAGAAACCAATTGAAAATCCCGGTGGACCAACGCTGCAAACCCCTGAACTGGGCGAGGATCGCCAACCAGTAAAATTACCCAGCAGCACTCCCGTTTGGACCCCACGACCGCCACCGTTGCATCCGGCCAGATGCACCCGACGCTGGAAAGATGAAAATAGCTGCTGTGAGTGGGGATGAGAATGGCAGGGCTGAACCGCCCAAGCAAGCCAAGCTGTCTTGTGACAGAACGCTGAACAGTCAGTGTGTCCGTCAGACAAGGCGGAACGGAGAACATGGCGGCGAGACACCTCCCCCCCTCCTCATGACCGGGTCACCGTGCTGATTGTGCAACTTGTGCACGCGTGCGTCGGCATGTTCCTTTCTGGGCGGCGGAAATCCCCATTCCCCCAGTTAACTAGTCGGTACAACCTAAATTACCTCGGACTGCGCCCATCCCATCTATCATTCATCCCCGCCGTGTCCTCTCCTCCACAACAATAACATCCCCCTTCCCGGGCCGTCCTGTCCTATCCACGGCACAGTCAGGCGCCACGAGAACCACACCCTCCAGTCCGACTCGAATCCGCTTCCCCAGACTCGACCAACCGACCGACCGAATCTTCCGAACCCCTCAGCGATCCCGATCCATCTCCCGATCCGCAACGACCCCTCTCCCCCTTTAAACGATGCACCTCGAGCCAACCCCCCTCCCACCCGCCCTCAACCACATCCTCGAATCCATCACGCGCGTCTCCGCCCTCGTCCAGCCCGCCTTCGGCCTCGCACCACCCTCACAACCCCACCACCACCACCACCACCACCACAACCGACAACAGCAGGGAGAACAGGGACAAGCCGACACCCCCCCCACCAATATCTCCCCCGACGGCGTCGCCAACCCCAACAGCCGACAAGAGCGCGGCCACAAGCGCGTGGTGCGCGTGCGCTACGACCTGAACCACGCGCGCTCGCTGGTGGAGCAGCTGCGGGGGCTGTTTTGCGACGACGATGCCGGCGCGGGGGGTCGGTGGAAGGGAATAGAGCGCGGGCGGAAGGGGCTGGTGGAGATGCGGCAGGTGGCGGCGGTGTTGGGGGCCGGAGCGCTGGTGTTGTATTGTTTGGAGGGGGCGTTGGTGGAGTTGGGGCGGTTGTATGAGGTGGAGGAGGGGATAAGGAGGGGGGTGGGGGTTGGTGTTGGGGTTGGGGTTTCTCGTGGGCCGGAGGGGAAGGAGAGGGAGGAGAGGGAGGAGAGGGAGAGGGATGTGGATGTGGTAAGGTGGATGAGGCATGAGAGGAGGGGGGAGGTGTGGGATTTGATGAAGGGGGTGAAGGACTTTGGGACGGCTGTTTGGTTTTTCTTGACCATCTTTGAGAGGTAAGTTCTGCGGGAGGGGGTGATGGGTTGAGAGGTGCGGTGGAATGATACTGACAGTTTCAACGTTGGCAGTCCATCACCTGACGAAGCTGCGACGGGCCGAGCGAACCTGGTGACGGCGGTGGCTGATATTATGGTCAAGGACAACGCGCTGTCCAAGACGATCCACATATTATACCCGGACTTGAATCCAAGATTGAGCAGCTTGGAGACAGCAGGTATCTCGACCATGGGCGGATCGTCCCTTGGAGTAGATACACTCAGATCCAGTGGCGATGCTGTGGTCTTCGGCTCAGCTACGCCCTCTGACAAAGCGAACATCACTTACGATATCGACGATAGTGGGGATTCCGACTCTGACTCCGAGCCCGGGATAGACACCCCTACATCATCCGTATTTCCCATCTCGGAACCAGACGAAGAAGGGCCGGAGCTAGGCTACCAGTTAACCCTGGCGGCCATCCTCAACCCCAGTGTCGTCCGAGTGCCAGTCGCCATGTCCGTAAACCCGCATCCCTACAAGGCACGGCCATGGCGCATCACAAACGAGCATCCCCCATCCTCCCTCAACCTGAGCTCCCTCCGGGTCCTGACCGTGTCGACCGCTGGTATCGACATCTCTCCGCTCCCGGAAGACATCCACACCTCGCTCCCGCCAAGCGCCCCTAACAAAACCCTCTCCGCCGACGCCGTCTTCCAACTCCCCGACATCACCGACGAGATTGTGCTTGACTTCTTCCGCCGTGCACTCCATGTCTCGCGCTTCGCGGCACGGTTTGAGAACGGGAAGTTCCCGTACACGGGGTGTGGCGGTCGCTCAACCGAAGAGGAGGACAAGCTCGGGGGTCTCCTGCCGCGGCAACTGCGCGAGCTGTGTACGGATCTCTACGATGAACTTGTCAGACGGAACGTGGAGGACCAGAACAAGGGCCAGAGGGAGAGCGCGGACAGGGCACAATTTGTGGAGCCAGAGGGATTCAATGCTAAGAGGAGGCGTGCGAGGGAGAAGTTGGCGGATATGGAAGACGAGCATCTGGTTAAATTCATTGCCCTGGCGCTGAGGGAGCTCGATAGGCGGTGCGGTGCTAATGAGTATGATGCTTCGCGGGCCGCCGAATGCCGCGCCGTTGCTGCCCTAAGGTTGGAGGGTGCTTCGCGCGATGAGGCGGAGGATCTCCAGGGATGAAGGCAAATTTGGAGCAGATGTTTGGCCAAAAATGGGTTTCAAGCGTTGTGAACACTGTAAAAGATTACGGGAAGGGATGGATTCGGTTGAGACTGGCTTTCTTAAGTAATTACTGGGGATCCTTACTGACTTCGATTGACATTATTGCTGCTCCTCGACAGACTCGATAGTAACTTTACCATAATCGACTTGCCCGCTGGTATGGTGGTTGTTTTGTCCATTCTTCTGGCACAGAACCCGCTTATACCATAACCCCTGAATCAGACTGCCACCTATCACAATACACAACTGCGAGAAAAGTGCCAGGCACTAGAAGGAAACCTCGGTCGATGTTCCTGGCAATCATTCGTCACGGTGGCGTGATTTGTGCTCCTCGTATGGTGGTGATCACCGCTCCATGGCGAGAACGCCCCCCGAGTGACATCATGCCCCTCCCGTGCTCGATCATGAACTTTGGACTCCTTCAATGCTCACCTTTTACATTGCGTCTACCACAGTACGCTGACCGCTTTTCTAGCCTCCTCAAGAAGCGTCAGTGTAATTAGCACAAAGACATAACCATAGCACAAGAACCTTCACCAACAACCAACTCCAACATCAACCCCAACAACAACAGCCCCCAGCCATCAAAAATGGCCGCCACCCTCCTCCCCCACCACGCCCAAACACCGCACTCCATCCGCGAGTACGCCGGGCTGGCCCGCCCCCCACACCTGACCCGGCTCGAAAGCGCGACGCACAAAACCGGCCACGTCGAGCCGCTCAGCATCGACGTCGAGGACACCCCGGAAGGCGGCTTCGTCCCGGGCTTCCTGCACCTCCCGCCCGACTTCTTCACCAACCCGCCCGCCGACGCCTCCCCCGCCGACGCCACCCCGCGCACCGCCCGCCTACTGGCCACCCTCCCGCCGCACCACCACCGCACCGCCGCCATCCTGCTCTCGGGCGCCGGTGGGGGGCTGGCCGGGCCGAGCTCGATTTACTTGTCGCTGGCGTGTAAGTTGGCGACGCTGGGTCGTGGGATTCCGGCGCTGAGGCTGGATTATCGATATCCTGGAAGGAGGGAGCAGTGTGTGGCGGATGTGAGGGCTGCGATGGCGTTTTTGAGGGATATGTATGGTTTGGATCGGTTTGTGTTGGTGGGTTGGTCGTTTGGAGGGGCGGTGGTGTTTACGGCGGCGGAGGAGGATCCGAGGGTGGTCGGGTGTGCGACGGTGGCGAGCCAGGCGGCCGAGGCGGAGGGGATTCAGAAGTTGAGCCCGAGGCCGGTGCTGTTGATGCATGGAAGTGGGGATAATACGTTGGATGTGGGCTGTTCGCAGAGGTTGTTTCATATGTATGGGGCGGGGGATCGGATGTTGGAGGTGTTTGAGGGGGATAATCATTCGTTGAGCAAGAATGCGGATGGGGCGGAAGTGATGCTGTGTGAGTTTGTTGCGAGGTGTGCTGGGCTGAGGGTGGATGCGCAGGATAGGAAGGATGTGGTGGGTGCAGAGCTGGTGGAGGATGGGGAGCGGCATGGGCTGATGGAGAAGGGAGGTGATTTGAGGGCGCCGGAGCGGGAAGACTAACTTGACCTAGGGTGCATGGTGTTGTAAGTTGTCTGTGATTCATTACAATGAGCTGCGTGTAACTTGCAAGTGAAAAAAGTACCTCTAGTTAAGCATATTGGTACAGTATGTAGTAAGTCTGGAAGACCCAGAAGGATTCAGGGGTTCAGGGGCTTTAGTCGCAGGGACAGACTGAACATAGGACCACCAAATGTAACTTTATTTTCAACACCATAGCCAGTACATGGAACTCACTTTTATTTACTTTAAGCATCCCACCATTTACAACGGTCAATTGTTCGCCACCCTCCACTTGGCGCGTACCAGAACTGCCGGCGGCGCTAGGGAATTAAGAAAACCCACCATTCCGACGCCAAAGCCGAGGGCCAGTGGATGCGGGGAAACGGGGCCGGGCACCGCGGCGTTGCACTTCCCCAGACCTCTGCTAAGCTTGAGTCGCCGGCCCCCGGGTAGATCTACGCATTCCGGAACGGGCGAGGCGGTGCCTCGGGTACATGCACAATCGCGACTCGCGAGTTCCTGAGTCAGCGCCAGCAACGGCGACAAAATGACCTTAAGAAGCGGCTAAGAACTTAGGATCAGTGTTCCACGTCCCGACGTTCCTTCCGAAACCACACCACTCCACACCCCCGACACCATGACACCCGAAGCCGAGAAAGTCGACGTCCTCATCTGCGGCAGCGGCTCGGCCGGCCTGTGTGCCGCCGTCTGGCTCGCCCGCTTCGGCATTAACTACAAGATCCTCGAGCGCCGCGACGGCCCGCTCAAGGTTGGGCAGGCCGACGGCGTGCAGACCCGGACCGTCGAGATCTTCGACAGCTTCGGCATCGCCGAGGACCTGCTCAAGGAGGCGTATCATGTGCTGGAGGTGGCCTTTTGGTCACCCGACCCGGATGCTGGGGGGATTAGGAGAACGAGGTATGCAGCGGACAAGGAGACGGCTATCAGCCACCAGCCGCATGTCATTCTGAACCAGGCGCGGTTGAACGCGCTGATGATGGGGACTCTGGGGGCGGCGCCGCCGGTGGAGTATCAGTGTGAGGTTAAGGGGTTGGAAGTGGACAGCGTTGCGGCGAAGGATCCAGATGCGTATCCGGTGAGGGTGAGCGCGGTACACGATGGCAAAGAGAAGATCTATCAGGCCAAATACGTATTGGTAGGCAATCCTCTTATCTTATCCCACCGGCTACACAGCCTAACAACCCCAGGGCTGCGACGGCGCGCACAGCATCATCCGCAAGTCGCTCGGCTTCAAGATGGTCGGCGACAGCACCGACGCCGTCTGGGGCGTGATGGACATCTACCCACGCACCGACTTCCCGGACATCCGCAAGAAGTGCGTCATCAACTCGGCCGCGGGTAGCATCCTCATCGTGCCGCGCGAGGGCGACGCCATGGTCCGCTTCTACACCGAGCTCCCCGCAGGCGCCAAGGTCGGCGACATCAGCCTCGAGCGCCTGCAGAACCACGCGCGCAAGGTGTTCCACCCGTACACGGTCGACTTCGCCGAGACCTTCTGGTGGTCGGCGTACGCCATCGGCCAGCGCCGCGCCGACTTCTTCCACCGCGACCACCGCGTGTTCCTGACGGGCGACGCCTGCCACACCCACTCGCCCAAGGCGGGGCAGGGCATGAATGTCAGTCTGCAGGACGGGCATAATATCGGCTGGAAGCTGGGCATGGTGCTCAAGGGGTTGGCGCTCCCGGAGCTGGTCGAGACGTATGTGCTGGAGCGGGAGCGCACGGCGACCGAGTTGATTGCGTTTGACCGCGGGTTTACGAAGTTGTTCAACTCCAAGTACCGCGAGGAGAATCAGGTGTCGCCGCAGCAGGTTGCTGAGCAGTTCATCAAGGCGGGGAGGTATACTGCTGGACAGGCGGTGCGCTACGATCCTTCGGTAACGACAGCGGTTAGTGAGCACGACAATGAGATTGTGTCTAAGGTGACGGTCGGCATGGCGTTTCCCAGCGCGCAGGTTGTGCGGTTCTGTGACGCCAAGGCTATGCAGCTGGTCAAGGGGCTCCCGGCGAACGGGAGGTGGTATGTTGTGGTGTTCGCGGGTGATGTGTCGAAGCCGGAGATAGCGGCGCGGCTGGAGAAGGTTGGTTGTTTAGCCGCAGGAGATAAAGGTTCTCTGGCTAACGGTATCTCAGGTTTCTCGCTCATTGGAACAAACCGCTCTACGATCCACGCCACCAGGGGCTTATCCGGATAGTGTTATCGACCGTGTTTTGGTCATCGCGTCGGACAGGGCAAAGGTCGAACAGGAAGAGATTCCCACCTTTTTCACACCTGTAACAGGGACGAGGGGAATGAAATGTAGGTTTCTCGACGCTTCCCCAACGACCATGGGTCGACCACTAATTCGGGCGCGTTGCTAGGTCTAACGAAGGTGTACGCCGACGAAGAGAGTTACAACTCCGGGCATGGACATGCATATGATGCTTATGGAGTCAACCCCGAGGAAGGCGCACTGGTTGTCGTACGGCCGGACCACTGTGAGTTGTGCCCTCCCGTTACGTTGACAATCAATGCTAACGATGGGCCAGATGTTGCAAAGGTCGCTGCTTTGGGCGAGGTCGACTCGATACAACAGTTTTTTGAGGGCTTTTTAGTTCAGAGCGGGATTTAAACAGGAAGCAAATATCTTCTTGCCAACTCAAAGATGAATTCGAACTTTGTTCTGGCAGGTCCGTCTGCTCTGTCTGCTATTCTGACATCTTGACTCGTTGATCCCTTCCTGTGATGGCTAGGACACCTTTGCGTTTTGCGATGATATCAGCTTCGCTTCTGCCTAATCTTCAAGCCGCCCCTTAGCTATGGAGTTGCCAGTATGTACGCCCCTTTGAGCATAGCAGAGGCTGAGTCTCTCATACGGCGCAGCACAGCCACACCTAAGGCTCTCGCGTTGTTTTGCATTTACTTTTCGCTCACTTCCACCAATGACCAATTCAGGTACGAGCTATCTTCTATCATTGGCCTTATCACCCTTGGCCTTGGATGAGAAATGGGGTGTCGATGGATACCTAATTTGGACAGGGGGGAGCACGGATATAAACCACTTTCGTCCTAGTCTAGAAGCCCTGTTCAGCGTCATGGTACAGGAGATAGGTACACTAACTAGCTCCAGCATGTTGGCATTTTACTAATCTCAATGTACCTAGGTTAACGGCTGGACCGCAACGCCCCGGATTCGCCGAGCGATGAATTGATCAGCTTTGATCAAGCTCGAGTCAGCTTCTCGAATCATATCGACAAATTCCCGGGGATTCGGGTATTTGCTATTCTTAATTCCGATCCTGTCAGCTTACGTCCGCTAACCGCCTGCCTGCCAAGCCGCTGGCCGGGGAGTTTTTGCATGAAGAACCGGGATTCGACGGGCACATCAGCGCTGTGGATCTCCTGGATCACAAATGTATTGGGAGAGATCCAAGGTGTCGACAGAGGGTTGCTTTTAGGCGGTGCAACTGTCAGCCGAACTCCGCAATGAAAGGCCCAAGCATGGTTTATCGGACGCGTATGGGTGGTGTGGTTCGGAGGAACTTGGGGTGGCATTGCGTGTTCTCCACAGCGCATCATGAATATAAAACCTCAACCAGGCCATAGGTTGCTTGGGATATCATTATTTCATATCTCCCATCTCCCATCTCTCATCTCTCTCAACATCGCAACGCTGCAAACACTACACTATTCTCCAAATTAACCACCCAACACACACCAACCTTCACCATGACCGACAAGCCGTTCCCCCAGCAGACTCAACTGCACACCGTGGCCGAGCACCGCGCTGCCGTCCTGACGTACCCCGCCAACTTGCGGGAAGCTCTCCGTCAGGCCAAGGAGGATCCCAAGAAGACGCTGCTGGGTGTCGCCCAGGGCATCCCCAGTGTTTTTGTCACAAAGGTGATGGCCTCGGCCAAGCCCGACTTCATCTGGATGGACGTTGAGCACGGCATCTTTGACCGCTCGACCCTCTACGAGTAAGTGCATCGCAGCCTCGAGAAGGAAATTTTCACAACGGTTCTGACCCCATCTAGCTGCATCCATGCCGCACAACATCACTCCGAGGGTAAGACGCTGGTTGTGTGCCGCGTTCCCAAGCACGACGAAGTCAGCTTGTCAACTGCGCTCGACGCCGGTTGCGCCGGTTTCGTGATCCCCCACACCGAAACCGCGCAGGACATCAAGGACAAGGTCAAGGACATCTTCTACCGTGAGTAGCACCCCCTTTGCAAAATCCACCTCTGCCATTGTGGCATTGATCACAAAACTAACAACTCCCCCCCAGCGCCGCTCGGCCAACGCTCCTTCAGCCCCTGGACCTTCACGCCGGGCATCTCCAACCAGTCGCTCTACGCCAACGACAACTGGAACATGAAGAACTCCAACAACCACATCTGTGTCATCGCGCAGATCGAGAGCGTCAAGGGCCTCGAGAACATCGAGGAGATCGCGGCCATGCCCGAGGTCGACGCGCTCATGTTCGGCCCCGGCGACTACAGCGCCGACGCCGGCATCGACCTCCAGCTCGGCGCCCCGCCCCCGCAGGCCTTCGTCGAGGCCATGACCAAGTTTGTGTCGACCGCGCACAAGTATGGCAAGCCGCTGTTTGGGTGAGTTTTGCGCCTTTTTTCCTTTTTTCTGGTTACCTACCTATGGTACGGTGCCGTTGCTAACTTGTTTGACAGTGCTGCCCAAGGCCCCGCCATGATCCCGCTCATGCTCCAGCAGGGCTACACGGGTCTGGCAGTGACGTTTGATGTTTGGGGCGTGGCCAACATGGTCAAGGACGGCATGGAGGAGGCGCGCGCCGTGATTGTGAAGAATGTGGATGAGACTGCCGCTGCGGCCAAGGCGAACGGCTCGAATGGTACCGCCGAGGTGCCCACCCGGGAAGCACCTTCGTCGTAGGGGAGCACCGGGAGAATTTATAGACGATAATACCCCTCAGCTCGGTTGTACGATTAGTTAGATCTTAGAACAGAAGCGTTGTATTTTACTAGAGCTTAGGTTTATTGAAGTTTACATACGTGTATGAGTGAGCAGCGCTATGTGGTCCTACACCCCTGGATGTGTTTGTCCGTTCTACAGCTTATGGTGCGACACAGGAGAGGGTGCTCGGGAATGTAACCAGGCATGCCTCGAGTCCCCTGTCTTTTGATACTGCTCATATGTTGGTAAGATGCTCATGCATTTTCAGCTATCACTTTCAGGATCCTCCTCCTCCACTCCGAGAGCGCCCTTTAATTCCAACATCCACTGGCGTATCGGCTTTTTGCCCTCCTGCAATTCTCTGTAGAACGTGCTAAGTGGTTCTGGCAGAAGGTCGGCATCCAGAAACCCGTCAGCATCAACGTAAAGCTGTATGTAGGCGATCATGGCCATGCCGAAGGAACCGACACGCTTCCCTTGGTCCCGTGCATAGAGCTGCATGTAAGCCTCCAAAAGAACGTGAGACCTGAGAGCGACGACGGCATCTGTGGCCGACTTGAAAACTCCAGCCCCTCGACCCGGCCGCCAGGGCGGAAACACAGTTTGCTCGGACGCAGGGCAAAATACGGCGGAAGGTCGAGGGAGCTGGTCGGAAACAATATCGAGTCGTCCAAGCGCGGAAGAAACCAGAGCGTGTCGGATTGGAAGTAGAGACCAGCCGTGACTTCTAGGTCATCGTCGAGATGGGCGTGGAATATTGGAGGTTGCGAGTGTCGTTCGTTGGAGATGGCGGGGCACGATGGGGGTTATGGGCAAGGCACGAGGCCCTTGCATTGAGCGAGGGCTTCCGCCCCGGCTTCTAAGCAGTCATCTGGAATCACGAAATCGATCGACTTGTACACGCAGTTACCTAGTTGTTGGGACTTTTGAATTTCATGGTTGGCGTGGGGTGTGGGGTATATGGGGTGCGACTTACGCCGACGATGGAAGGTACGCCGTGGAGACAGAGCAGGCAGTGGCCCCACAAGACGCAGGGCACCTGGGCCGCGTCGAGAGCCCGTGCGAGGGACGCTACGAACGGTTGTGAAAAAGTAGGCATGTTGTTGAATTTGGAGTTTGCCGTCTTCGTAAAGTCAGACCGGCGAAGGCTTGAAATAGCTTGCCTACGACAAAGTTGAAAGACGGACCAATTTTATGTCACAAAGGGGGTGGGTTTTACGGTTTAGCGCATCAAGGCAAGAGTTGATTGGGTAACTAAGGTGCCTCGGGAGGTAGTTAAGGTACCTGAGTTATCCATTCGTGCCTGCCCCCATTGCCGACACAACCTGTCAGTTAACATTTCCAAACAACAACCCCCGCTTCGCACTTCGCCGAGAACCAAACCCTGTCTTGTCATCTTCAGCTCATCTTGCAACCGATATGTCAACGTCCGCATCCGCATCCGCATTTCACTAATCACTACTTCCCTGCTTTACCCCCCGAGCTTCGTTTCCTGATCTGGGAAGCTGCTGTCACAGGCGTGATGTGGATGCCAACCTTGTGGTAGGGGTATGATGACTGTGGTTGCGCGACGAGCCCAGTGGTGGGCGCGCAAGCCGTAGATAATATACCTCTACGGGTCTACAACCCTAACCCTTATCTCTATCTATAGTACAGCCAGTCACGGCTGTGCCCGTGACAGCTGCCTTCTCTGCCCCGTCTGTCTGGGCCGCGGTTCGCGTACCTGGCGTATCTGTACCCCGCCCTGCCTCTGCAAGCGATGGTGTCATTGTCAACTCTAACAGGAACAAGAGCGCGTTCATGTCACGAATACGCCAACAGGTGGAGTCTCGGGGCGCGGGACGCCCCGAGCCAGTCATTTCAAGGACGAATCAAGGAAGGCCGGGGAGTGCTCAGTGTGACCAGGGAAACGGGGGACAACGGGAGACCGAGCAGACTGAGCATAGGAATCATGCAGCCAATCAGAACACAGGAAGAACAGAAGTGATCAGTATGCTCAGTGTCTCCGAACACCGAAGGAAGCTGAGCACACTGAGCACACAGGACTTAGATAGGTATATAGTCACTCGTTCTGGAGAGCTCTGGGAGTTCTCCAGTTAGCAATCACAACTACAGTTCGCTACAAGCTCGTGAAGCCTACTGTTGAGACAAGCCTTTGTTGTGCACCTTTTGGCTGCACCGAACCTAAAAGCACCCTTGAGAGATTCCATTCAACCGAAGCTGAACCCTAACAGGACAGGGTCCTGAAGTAGGTTCGTCACACGTTGCTAACTCGATGCCCCTTCAGGGCTGACGTCCCGTCGGCCATCTTCCCCCAGCCATCTTCCTGAAATAGAGCCAACAGTCCTTGGTCCAATCTGGTTAGTGATTTCCCAACTTCCTCCACTCTTCTTTCGCCGTGATTCGCGGCCTAATCCCTCATCATGACTGACGGTGTGAAGAAATGAAAACAAAAACGAAGACAAAAGTCCAGCACTGAGCGTTGCCATACTGGTGCTCTTCTTGCTGACTTCAATGGTTGGGAACGCCATGGTGACGTGTACTCGTTGCAAAACCTTGGAGCTTCCTGACTGCAACGTCGCCAATAATTCCGACGTTTGTGGCAGCTGCCTTCGCGCGGGCAACTATTCGTGCGACGCCTTTGGTAGCGACGATTCCGCGGTTCGTCGCCTTGTCGATCAGGAGCGTGAATTAGACGAGAAAGAGCGTGTTGCGACGGAGGCTATTCGTAACGCCAATCGTACGCTTGGGGAGCTAGAGGCTGCTCGTCGTGATGCAAGTCACGCCTTGATGACAGCTCTGGAAAAAGCGGATCGCCTGCGGACACAGCGTCTGGCCTTGAAGCGCAAGGCTTTGGCGATGTTTGATCAGGAGCGGGAAGTGTTGGTCGAGCAGGAGCGTCGAGAAACCGCCGCTGCGCGGCCACCCTTGGATGCCGTCGCCGTTCCCTCCTTCAGCCCTTCCTGGGGCTTAGAGTGCGTCCTTCTTCCTACCCTTCCTAGGTTGTTGTACTGATCGTCTTAGTTTTTCTTCGGGCGACCCCTTCCTCGCCGGGGTTGATCTATCCGCGGGGCTTCCTTTGGTCGATCCGGGTTCCTCCGATGGAAATTCTCCAACTCCTCGGGGCAGTTGAAGTTCGTAGCGGGTTGCCATGAGTTATCTTCAGGGCCGAATCCTTGCCACTTGACCAAGTACTCGATTCGTCCTCGCGTGATGCGTGAATCCAGGATTTCTTCTACGTCCCAGAATTCTTCCTCATCTTCCGCCTCAACGCCTTTGTCGAGCCGTGCATTCTTGGGCGCTGGCTCCAGAAGTGAAACGTGGAAAACATTGGTCCGTAGTCGCATCGTTGAGGGTAACGCGAGTGCGCAATTGTTTTCCGAAATTCTTTTGTCGACCTTGAATAGATTTCGAGAAATGAGATAAACTCTGCCCCCCTCTTCTAGGCGAGGTCCCTCGAGCCTGTTTCTGTCATAGAACTTCTTCATTCTGGTTCGTAAGAACTCGAGTTCTTCCTTGAGCATCGCATGCAGCGGGCTCATTCTGTCGGCCTTGACTGCCGCTCTGGGCACCGAAACGTCGGGCCCTTGTCGCAAATCTGCTTCGTTCCCGTCGCTGAGTCCTTCGATGTTGGAAGCTTGGTGATGAAATCCATCGTCACCGAGCTCCATGGTCGTTCTGCGACTGGTAATGGCTGCAACAGTCCATACGGCTTGTGTGGCCGTGGTTTGCTTCGTCCGCAGAGGTCACACTCTGCCAGGACTTCTTCTGTCGCTTGCTTGATTCCTGGGAAGTCGTAATTCTGCTTGACTTTCGCAATTGTTTTGCCGATTCCCATGTGCCCTCCGAGTTTTGACTCGTGGATCTTTCGAATGAGCTCCTTTTGGTCGCTGGGCCTGACGTAGGCCTTGTCGTGGTACCAGAGTCTCGTTCCTTCAAGTCGCAATCCTGCGATCTTGGACTCTGGCTCTTCTTGCCATGCATCGCGCTCGTAGTCCGCGATGGTTCCTTGGAAACCTCGTTCCAATCTCTGCTCCCTGAAGACCGCACAGCATTCTACAAACGGTTGTAGAGGCCTGGCTTCGGGATCTTCCGACTGCTGCTGAAGTGCTGCGATCTCGTAGTCTTCAGTCGGTTGGGAAGCGTGGCAGCGTGCCGTAGCGATCCGTCTGTTTGCTGATGTAGCAATGGTGGTGAGGTTTCAGATCTGTTGTCGTGGTGATCCGCTCTCCTACTCAAGGCGTCCGCTCATGCATTTTCCGAGCCTTTCTTGTAATGGATCGTGAAATTAAATTCGGACGGGAATTCTGCCCATCGAGTTTGTCGTCCATTCAACACCCAGTTTATATGTACACTGTAACTTGAACTGTACGATAGCTTAACACCTACCTACCTAGTATCTACCTAGACGGGAGTCAAAATTCTATTTTCTCCTTCCTCCTCAAATATCTACCCACCAGACCTTGTTATTAACTGCTATTCGTATTCGACCTTGTATTCTCTGCGCTTAGAAAGGCCGAATTCATTATCCATACTTTGTGTCTGGGAGCGGCACTGTTCCGTGCCGTTCGTCCACGCCGTCAAACACCAACTCTAGACGGCCATCGACCGCCCTGACGCGGACCGTTTGCCGGTGTACGTCGACGTTCCAGACCCCGGCGCCGGTGTTGCGGAACACGGCCGGGGGCGTCGAGTTCAGCGCCAGGGCGGCCACCTCCGGGGGGGACCCCCACACCGCCGACGACCATTTCGTCTTGAGAGAGATCGCCACATGGGCCACCACCACAGCCACGTATGTCCCGAGCACTACCATCGCCGCTAACTGCGTCTTCCCGGACGCGGAATAGGCGTACCCCTTGGCTCTGACCTCCAGAGTGAATCGGGCATTGCCCGTCGTGTCGGTCGGGTCGTGGAATGCCTGCCCCCCTTTCCCGACGCCGCCGCCACGGGGCAGCATCTCGGAAGTCCAACCACCGCCGGACCAGAGGCTTGCCGGGTTGACCGGGTCCTTCAGTAGATCCCAGCGGACTCCCGCGTGATAGTTGGCCCGCGCAATGCCGTTTGCGATGAGCGTCGTCAGAATGTTCTCCAGGATGATCTCGTCGTACCCCGGCATGGCCGGCCAGGACCCGTTCCACATGCCTGCTGAGGCCAGAATCTGCGCGAGCGCGCTCGAGTTTGTGAAAGGGTCGGAAGGGTTGAGGTAGCGCGCCCAGGCTGGGTCGATCCCTACGGGCTGGTAGGCTTCTTTGAAGACACCGCTGTTGGTGTAATTTTGCGGCCAGCCGTCCACGATCTTCAACTTGTTTGTTCGAGTTTCCGTGGCGGTGTCCCCCAGCACAGCGGTGATGCTGCAACCGTAGAGTCTCGCTGCCGGCCCGGGGGAATCCCCGTACCTCGGAATGGCAACAACGGCTGATATGGAAGCGTTGACGCGCTCAAGCAGGGCTGGGTCGCCGACCCAGAAAACCGATGGGAGACTACCAGCGCCGGCACTTGGGTCCAACGCCGGCTCCAATTCGTCCCTGAGCGCTGCGAAATTTGCGAAGTCGTTATCGTAGGAGAGGCTTTGTGTCTCCATGGCATGCTCAACCAGGCCAACAACCCTGGGAATGCTGCTGAGTACAGGAAGCTGGACCCCGGAAGCGGTCGGGGGATTTGACTCGCACCTTGCGAACACGATAGGTTGCTTGGTAAATATATTGAAGATCTCATCCAAGTTGTACCGTAGGCGCGAGTTTTGTTTCTGGACGGCCCTCTTCCATAAGCGGAGCAACTCTGCGGCGGCGTCTGCAACAGGAGCGAGCGCGACGGAGCTGAGCGTATAGGCATCAACGTAGAGCAACTCATTGTCGTCGTTGGCTGGCGCCCGGACCTTGGAGTTCAGGACTCTCTGGGAGTACCGGCTAGACACCTGTACGAAATCGGGCATGGTTCCCATCGGAGTGATTTGCCCCCAGTACGAGAAGTAGAGCTGCGTGAGTGTCTGCCAATCCCCCGCGGGCACGCCAGGTCGCCTGTATCGACTAGGCAGTGAGAGATGCTGGCCGAGGCGTTCATAATGGTCGGATAGAGTTCGCCGAGACTCCTGTCGATCCAGAACGACGTCCCCCCGGCTGGCCACTCCCTGAGCCGGGGCTGCATAAGGATAGCCGAAGAGGGACCGACGGTAAAACCAAGAAGAGTGCATAGGACGATCAGCGAGACTAGCGACGCCATCTTCTTCTTGCTCTGCCATTTGTGAGTCAAGATACCCCATAGGTCCCTGGACCAAAGATAGGCCAAGTCGTGGAACTGGCTAAGAGACAGGAGGGCGGCAAAAGGAACGCCGTCTCCGAACACGAGTTCCTTCCGGATGTAAGTGACAAGAATCGATGTGAGCGAGAAGAGCATCCAAAGTTCGTGCACCTTCGCCGCGAACTGCAGGGCGGCCAGCTTCTGGTCGTCCTGGTCCTCCCAGCCCGCCAGCTCCCCACCGATGTAGTAAGACGCCCCGTTGAAGGCAAGGAGCAGCACAGCAGCGGCAGCAGGGATGATGTGTATCACACTTCGCAGCAACACCATGCGCCTTCGTTTGTGCATGACGACCTTCTTCAACTCCCTGCCGTCGGTATCCCCTTTGAATAGTTTGCCGACAAGGAATAGGCCCGAAAGCCCAACATTGTAGCAAACGTGCCACAGCTTGCTGTGACTTCCGCCGTCCGACTCGGGTACAGAGGAATCTCGAGATGGGGGCTGGGTTGTCTCTTCAGATGGTGGTTGGTCGGCATACTGGAGTGAAGACTGCGAAGGAGAGTTGAGACAAGGAGCAATGGTGCTACCGCTAGTCGTTTGGTGCGGCAATGCAAGATACTGATGGGGCAGCATCGGCAAGCCTTCTGGTGCAGGATTGGCCATCGTTTCGGTAGCAGGCAGGGTCCACACGGATCGATTGCTTCAAGTTGTGCGTCGCTGATGTGTGTCTGAGCAACTGAGTACGGAGAAGAGGACAAGGCCATAACTATATTCAGCAGCCGCAAGAACATGGCCTGGCGGGGAAGAGGGTTCTTAAGTGCGAATTGGATTTGGGTTGGGGCGCCATAGGTAATTTCCCTTGACTAAAGAGGTCCCTCGTCGATGGCGAGGCTGCTGTGCATCTGCAAATGCGACTCATCCTTCACCCTTGATGATGATGAACAGCCACCGTTCACATTCTCTCCAGGGCCCACCGGCGGCTAATTTCTGTCGAAAGGCTTTTAAACTTCCAATCAGTTGACCTCCACTTAGCCATCAGCGACGTGGCTGCAGCAAAGCTGAGCGTCCACGCCTCAGCATCCGCCTCGAGCCCATTGTGGCTTCAGCTGAAGCAGCTTGGCGCCTATCAAAGCGCCTGCTTTTCCGCCGACTGAAAGTTACTAGCCGCCGATAACCAAGCTCAGACGGGGTGTGCCGTTTGCATGCATTTCCGCTGGAGGGCGGGGAGTCCGTGGAGTGGTCGAGTCCGTGGGTTATGCCGTCCATTTTGTGCATCGACACAGGCGACATTCATACACTAGATTCATACTACCTAGGTAGGTAATGGTTTAGAAGTTTGCACACCTCCCAATTACACCCGGCACCCAATATGCTCGAGAAATAAAATAAAATATAGAATTGAAGAAGACTTAAACAGAAAATGCCGCTCTGAAGGGTATTGCCATTTCCATTTCAGCCTGTCGGAACGCTGGCCTCACAGGGGAGTAACAAAACACTGGAAGCGCGAATGGCGTGACCGTGAGCTTGGAACGGCAGTTCCGGGTTTGAACTTTTGTGGCTCGTCCGAAGCACAGAGATGAAACCACTTGATTCGCGCTTTCTGTTCAACCCCGCCTTTGCTCTCTCGCCGGCAAACGGAGCCTCAAAATACGAACGGAACATTAACTCGACCGTGAGCAGTCAGGCTGTCTTCTCACTATTTCGGCGCCGTGACTGTAACTTCAAACAAATACAGCAACAGATCTCTCGGCTCAAACATGGAGGGTCTGGACCAATGTCGCGAGGGACTTGAATGGGATGACGGGGGTTTTGATCTGAAGCCACGCTGGGCACGAGAGCCCCAGCTTGATGCTGTGCCCCAACTTTGCCGAAGGCCGCGAAGGGTTCTAGGTCTCGCGCATGACGACCACTGTCATGTCGCTTTTCATGCAGAGGGCGCATTCAACAAGCTATATCTGGTGGACGGCCCACGTGGCAAGTGTTTGCTCCGTGTGTCGTTGCCTGTCGACCCAGCTCACAAAACCCGCGGCGAGTCGACCACGCTACGCTGAATCCGCCGCATGACCCTCGTACCGGTTCCCAAGGTTATTGCCTTCGACGACTCTAGAGATAACGAAATCGGATTCGAGTGGATCCTTATGGAGCTTATGCCGGGCGTTTCGGCGTTTGCGCGTTGGCGGAAGATGTCGATGGCCGACAAGACCCGGGTTGTCGAGCAGATTGCGGATTTCCAGGGCCAGCTCTTTCGCCGCAGTATCGAGGATGCAAAGTTCCAGTCCATCGGTACCCTTCTCTCCGGAAACAGGGAACAGGCTGACCGATATCGCTGCCGAGCCGGTCGTCTTCGACCCCAAGCCCGGCCAGCTCGTCTCCCGCTTCTTCTTCAGGGGCAACCACTTCCGCTACGACATCCCGCGAGGGCCTTTCCCGTCGAGCCACGACTGGCTAAGCACCTACCTGGGCATCATCCGCCAGGAGCAAACCGACATCCTCCAAAACGACGATGATGAAGACGTCCGCGAGGACGCTGAGTCGTGCTTGCAAGTTGCGACCAAGCTGGCGGCCCTGCTCCCCAAGATCTTCCCGCCACTGCAACACCCCGCGGAGCGCACCGTTCTCTGGCACGACGACCTCTCACTCAGCAACATTCTCGTCGACGCCGACAACGCCGATGACGCCAAAGTCACGACCATTCTGGACTGGGAGTGCGTCTCGTGCCAACCGCTGTGGGCGGCGACCGAGATGCCCAAGTTCCTGCTCGGTCCGACGCGCGAGGCGGAGCCGGTCCGGGACGGGTATGCGGACGATGATGGTGAGGATGATGTGCACGTGGGGGCCGATGGACTGGACAACGAAGGCAGGACGGAGCTGTACTGGATCCACCGGATGGAGTATGACATGACGCGGCTGCGCAAGGTTTATAACGAGCAGGTATGGGAGCAGCTGGTGCCGTGGTGGGAGACGGAAGTTCTGTACGGGGCGCTGAAGCTTGATTTCTTGGCGGCTGTCGAACAGTGTGCTGCGGGGTGGCATCTCAAGGGGGTTGTGCGGTGGGTTGAGGCTGTCGAGGGGGGCAAGCACCCGCGTCTGATGGACGTGCTTGACCCAAACTGGAACGGGTAGGGGTTGTATCTCAACAGGGTCTAATATTATTATTATTATTATTATTATTCATACTCCGCTATGCCCTATTCATACTCCGCTATGCCCTAGGGCGTGCCGGACCCTCTGCTATTTAGTGTACAGGAAAACCGTGCCCTCCCAGGCCGGGTGAAAAACCCATACCAGCAATCAAGGAGCGATGCGTTCTGATGAGCACATATACAAAAAGAGGAGGCCTCCTGGCCTCCGAGCGGGGGCGCTTCAGCCCGCCGTTTCCAGCTCGAGCCTCCTGGCTAAGCTGTACATGGGCAGCTTCCCCGTGTCCATCAGCCAGTCGAGGACCCTCCTCGCAAGCCGTGCAGTCGTGGGATTGATACCGTGTAGAACAGAGTAAAAGTCCCGTCGTGTCCGAATTCCAGTCCTCTCCCATCTTCGAGCCAATGGTGGGGCCAAACACCACACTACTAGGTGTTCGGCAGTCTCTCGTCCCTCGCCACACTCGCAGGCAGGTGTCAGAACCTCCGGGACTCCCCGTGTGAACAAGAAGTCCCGTAGGCCTATTGCTCCCGTCCGGATTTGAATCAGCAGTGAGCTCTTCGCCTTGCTTAGACCGTCGTGCCTCCTTAGGGTTTCGTTCCGAAATAGCGTCTCCCGCTGATGGTCAAAGTCGTCCGCCGGCCTGGTGATTGCTCTGCCGTCCCGTTCCTTTAACCACCTCGCTCTCCAGGCCTCCTCTACTACCCTGTCCGTATCAACGATTCCCCCCATCCAGCGCATGATGGTGCCCGCGGCTCTCTCCACCGCCGTAGGCCCTTGAGGTCCCAAGGTTCGCGGTCGGCCCCTGTTGCCCCTCCTCGAGCTAAGTCTCTGCTGTATCTTGCGGCAAGCGGTGAGGACAACGCTCCGCGCCGTCCTCTTGCCGCCTTGACCGTCGTCCAGATCGGGTTGTTGGAGTCGGTTTTCGAAATCGGCAAGCCGTTTGTTTAGGTACAAACCGGGTCTAATATTGCTTCTGCTATTTGCCTGGCCACGCTCATCATACTGTATGATGATAAATTCTACCTATACCAACTTCCTGCTCGCCTTGATCCATTTTCTCCCTACCCGCTGCGCGAATAACAAACCTCAAGTCATTCCAGAAACCTGGAGCTTGGAGAAGATTCAATACGATGGTTCCATTAAGCGAACTCGGTCTATCTACAGGATGCCCTCGAGGCTCGGGGGGCCTGAAACTTGGCATGACACCAGCTCTTCTATGGATAGCCCCGGGGTGAATTTCTCGCCACACGGGAAGAAACGATTCGTATCCGTCCGTCCGTATGGCTGCGGCTGCGGACAGCCTCGTTGCCGACCAACGAGGCCGCCTTGTTTTGTCTGCCTGCCCTCTTAGCGCCGGCCACGTTGGCTGGCCGCCGATGGAGGGGCTTGCAAACGCATCGATTGGATAAAAAGCGCGTTACACAGCCCGACAATTTGTTCCCGTTGAGTGAAGGCTGTCGTCGAGGCTGAACAGCTAAGACTCGAAGGCAACACTCGGTCGTGGGCCTCAACCACAAACGGACACAGAACAATGCCATCACCCATAGTTGACGTCCCCAAAGCCTCGTCCTTCAACCTCGATGCGGCTTTGGATTTTATACATGACGAGACCCACCCATTTCCCCAGGAAGTGAGATCACCTTTGTTGTTGCACACTTGCCCTCCTTAAGTCATTGTGAACATCCATCCGCCTCCTGCAACACCATCTAAGCTCAATAACAACGATTTCCCCAACCACCATGGCCCCCAAGCAGGGTGTGTGCCCGCTGCTGCTCAACGATAGAGTATGTCCCGGCCGAGGCAAAGACTGTCCCTACTCACATAAAATGTCCGCTATTCGGTGGTGGAAAGCGACCGCAGGACAGGGACGGTGCGCTTATGGCGCAGACTGCGCATATCTCTTTACCGGAAACTGCCTCTGGTCCCACACAGCAAAAGATCGAGCCGCGGTGCACAGGTTGCGCAGACGGCGGATGACCGAGGTATCCAGCGGACTCGTTCATTTGGAGTCCCTGGCCATTCTGCCCATCGGTATCGATGCTGAGCCTTCCCGAATTACAGATGTGCAAGAACTGGCGAGTTTCAACAAGGTTGCAGATGGCGAGATTGTCGTACCAGGTCCGTTTCCCCCCCTCGTGCATCGATGCCCGTCTCTGCGGCGTGTCATGTAGAGTACACCGCTGACAGCTCGTGATGCAGGTGCTCCCCCACGGTTCACCCCCCTGACACAGCCGCTGCAAATGAAGGCCGACTCGTACAACAAAGCCATCCCCACCCGTTACCCCCAATACGACTATATCTTCGAGCCTCTTCTTCGGTCAGTTGAAGTGATGCAGCCCGGGTTGGATATCTTCAGTGCGACCGACGTGATCAGCAACGTCAGCAACCTCCGCAAGCTCTTCGATGTCATCTCCAACAGGTCCTGGGGCACCGAGCGCTGCGACATCGACATCAGGGAAAACACTCTGCTTCTCTCCCGCTGGAACGGAGACCCGAACCTGTCCCTGAGTCTCGGCTGCGGCTCCGGGTTCGAAAAAGAGACGTGTCGTTACCCGCCCGAGGAAGACCCCGTCCTACAACGCAGCCTAAGCCACCACCGTGTCCTGTCGTACCGTTTCGCGGGCCTGCAGCTCGTGGTACAAGGAGAAGTCGACGCCTACCACTGCGCGTGCGACCACACCACCCCATCGCCCGACCTCGTCTCCACCACCCCCCGAACCACCAAACGGCACTCCGACCCCGCCCCGCGGTCCCCCAGCTGGCGCCACCGCCGCGCCTTCTCCAACCCCCACGCCCTGGGGCCCTCCCCCTCCCTCGCCTTCGCCGCCCTCGCCCTCGACGACCCCGGCGACAGCCCGGGCTTCACGCCCCCCTGCCCCGTCACCCACCCCAGCCCGACCCTCCGCGTCCACCACACCGGCCGCGCCATCCCCGCGCCGTGCCTCGTCGAGATCAAGACGCGCAACGCCCGCTCGCCGGCGCTGTCCACCAACGAGGCGCAGCTGTATTTCTCGCAGCGCGCGAAATTGTACCTGGCCCGTCATGAGCAGGGGCTGTTCACGCCGGGGCCGGAGCTGAGTGTGCGGGAGGTGGAGACGGAGCTGCGGGAGTGGGAGGCCGAGGCGCAGCAGCAGGTGACGTTGGGGAAGCTGGCGGGTTTGTTGAGGGTGGTGAGGGATAGGGTGAGGGTGTTGAGGGGGCAGGGGGTGGAGAGGGTGAGTTTGGTTTGTGAGTGTGATGGGACGGGGAGTGAGCAGGGGGTGAGTGTGCGGTTGTGTGAGCGGGCGGGGGGAGGAGGACAGTGGGCTGTTGCCGCCGGTGGAATTCCACCGGATGGTTAACTCGAACTAGATCGAGATTTGTACTGGTCGTTGTTTTACGGATGTCCCGGATACACAGGACGGGTGTGGTCGCCAACGTCCCGTACACTATAGTGGGTGGAGTAGTGTAGTGAGCAGGGGTCGGCAGCAGGCTAGACGGGCGAACAGTGAACGTAAGAGGGATCCGGGATAGAATTCGTCAATCATATATAGCGTAGGAGACTCTACAGCGACAGGCGTGGTTGTCTCATGGAGTATATGCACCAAAACAGTCGCCCGTCCCGGG